AAATGTGCTCCTGCAGCAGCAATATCGTGAGCGTGGTTTCAAAAGGTACTCAAAACTCATATTTTGCCTGCTTGTGGCTGAACAAAATAATGAACTGTTGATGAAAAATCACGGGTTACGTCCAACTGGTTCTGTACCATTGCCTGAAGCAAATGGTACTGCATTGTTTGAAGCAAATACAATATCAAGACAAGGACATGGACGTGGACATGGATTTGGACATGAACGCAGACGTGCACGTGGAATAAATCATGAACGAAATAATCAACAAAATTATCAGCAATAAGGCAATAATTTCAAAAGGCACAAAGCAAATGAAAGTAGCATATCCAAAAAGAAGTATGAAGAAAGTTGTTTCAGATGTGAAATGAAAGGGCATTGGGCACGTACCTGCCTTATGGCAAAACACCTTGTGGATCTCTACCAAAAACCAATTAAGGGAAAGGAAAAAGTAGAGACAAATTTTGCTGATTATGATGGTCCAATTGATGTAACTCATTTGGATGTTTCTGATTTTTTTGCTGATCCAAATGGGAATATTGACAATTTCATTGAAGGTGGCGTAATGGAAGATATAGATTAGTTTATTTTCTAGTATTTCCTTTTCGTTTTAGAAATTCGATTTAAATATGTCCTTATTTTTCGCAAAATATTTGAAACATTATTATGTATCATTAATTTTATAATACTGAATTATATTTACTCTTTTAAATTTAAATTCAATAATATTTGTTTTCTTATAAATTTATGATGGATTGTCAAGATATTTGTTTGATTGATAGTGCAACTACACATACTATTCTTCAAGACAAAAAAAATTTTTTGGACTTAACATTAGTAGAAAATAATGTTAATACGATATCAGGTGCATCGAATATCGTTGAAGGCTCTGGAAGAGCTTGTATTATTTTACCAAATAATACAAAATTATATATTAACGATACACTTTATTCAAGCAAATCCAAAAGAAATTTGCTTAATTTTAAAGATATCTGTTGCAATGGATATCACATTGAGACGATGCAAGAAAATAATGTTGAATATCTTTGCATAACTTTTTTTGTATCTGACCTAAAGCAGATAAAAGAAAAATTTTATGCACTCTCATTTGGCATGTATTATACATTTATAAAAATGATCGAATCAAATATTATCACGAATCAGAAGTTCGTTGATCCAAAAAATTTCATACTTTGGCATGATCGACTTGGACATCCAGGAGCTATAATGATGCATCGAAGAATAAATAACTCGCATAGACATCCTTTAAAGAACCAGAAGATTCTTTTACCTAATGATTATCCATGTGTGGCTTGTTCGCAAAGTAAGTTAGTCATTAGACATTCGACTATAAAGGTCAATATTGAATTTTCAACTTTCTTAGAAAGGATTCATGGAGATATATGTGGGCCAATACACCCACCATGTGGACCATTACGTTATTTTATGGTATTGATTGATTCTTCTACTAGATGGTCACATGTTTGCCTACTTTCTACTAGGAATGTAGTTTTTGCTAGACTACTTGCTCAAATCATAAAATTACGTGCGCAATTTCCCGATTATTCAATCAAGACTATTCGTCTTGACAATGCTGGTAAATTTAGATCACAAACATTCGATGATTATTGCATGTCAATTGGGATTGTTGTGAACATTCGGTCGCGCATGTCCATATACAAAATAGTTTAGCAGAGTCATTTATTAAACGTCTACAACTTATTGCTAGACCATTACTTATGAAAACAAAACTCCTAGCTTCTGTTTGGGGTCATGCTATATTGCATGCTGCATCATTGGTTCGTATCAGACCAACTGTATATTATCAATATTTACATTTACAACTAGCATTTGGTCATGAACATAATATTTCTCACCTAGGGATTTTTGGTTGTGCTGTTCAAGTCCCTGTTTCACTCCCACAACGGACTAAAATGGGTCCCCAACAAAGACTTGAAATTTATGTGGGTTTTGATTCACCATTTATTATTAGATATCTCGAACATTTAACAGGTGATTTATTTACTGCATGATTTGTAGATTGTCATTTTGATGAAATGATTTTCTCAATTTTGGGAGGAGAAAAACTACATCCTGATAAATAAGGTAAAATTTCTTGGAATGAAACAATTCTATCTTATTTTGATGCCCGTAGCAATCAATGTGAGCAAGAAGTTGAAAAAATTATTCATTTATAAAGAGTTGCAAATCAATTACTAGATGCATTTGTTGACACAAGAAAAGTGACAAAGTCACATATACCGACAGAAAATATTCCAGCAAAAATTGATGTCCCTACACAACAATTAGCTGTAGCAAATGAATCTCAAATACGCCAGAAGCGTGGTCGACCAGTTGGTTCAAAAGACTCTGTACCTCGAAAAAGAAAAGTACAAGAGAAAAACCAACCAAAAACTTCAGAAAAAGTAATGTTGGAGAACATTAATCAATCAAATATTGAAAATATGGTTCCTGAAGAATCACAAGTGTTCGAAAATAATGAGATTTCAATAAATTATATGTTATCTCATAAATTATGGGAGCAAAATAATGTTGTTATAGACAATATTTTAGCCTTTAACGTGGCTCTTAATATTATGCAAAATGAGGATTCTGAACCATTGTCTGTTAAAAACTGTCAAAATAGAAATGATTGGCCAAAATGGAAAGAAGACATATATGTGGAATTGAATTCCTTAGAGAAACGGAAAGTGTTTGGACCTGTAGTTCGAACACCTGAAAATGTAATCCCTGTTGGATATAAATGGATTTTTGTACGAAGAAAAATGAAAAAAATGAAATTACAAGATACAAAGCCCGACTCGTAGCTCAAGGTTTCTCACAACGATCAGGAATTGATTATGAGGAAACATATTCTCCCGTAATGGACACCATCACTTTTAGATTCTTAATTAGTTTGACTGTGTCACAAAAGCTCGAGATGCGCCTTACGGATATGGTAACTGCCTATTCATATGGTTCACTTGATTGTGACATATATATGAAAGTCCGTGAAGGACTTAAAGTGCAAGAAACAAATGATACATGCTCGAGAACCATGTTCTCAATTAAATTGCAAAGATCGTTATATGGATTGAAACAATCCGAACGCATGTGATATAATCGCCTTAACGAATATTTGTTGAAATAAGGCTATAAAAATAACGATGTCTGCCCATGTATTTTCATAAAGAAAACAAATATTGGATTTGCAATTGTGGCAGTTTATGTTGATGACTTAAATTTAATTGGAATTTCAGAAGAGCTCAACAAAACTGCAGATTATTTGAAACGTGAATTTAAGATGAAAGATTTGGGGAAAACGAAATTCTGTCTCGGGTTACAGATTGAACATTTTCCAAAAGGATTATTTGTTCATCAATCTACATATACAGAAAAAGTTTTGAAACGATTTTATATGGATAATGCACATCCATTGGCTTCACCTATGGTTGTTCGATCACTTGATATAAAAAATAATCATTTTCGTCCACTTGAAGATGGAGAAAGGATTCTTGGTCCTGAAATACCATATCTTAGTGCAAATGGAGTATTAACTTATCTTGCAAATTGCACTCAACCAGACATAGCTTTTTCTGTAAATTTCCTTGCAAGATATAGCTCTAAACCAACACAAAGATATTGGAATGGTGTTAAACATATTTTTCGTTACCTAAAGGGTACTATTGATTTGAGATTATTTTATTCTCAAAAGTCGGGATCTACTTTAGTGGGATATACAGATGCAGGTTATCTCTCTGACCCACATAAAACTAAATCACAAACATGATACGTGTTTACACGTGGAGGAACGACTATATCATGGAGATCTGTGAAGCAATCATTGACAGCTACATCCTCAAATCATTCTGAAATTATTGCAATCCATCAAGCATGTCGAGAATGTGTATGGTTGAGGAACATGACCAATCATATCCAAGTATCATGCGAATTAATTTCAACAATAGATATTTCAACAATTTTGTATGAAGATAATGTTACTTGCATTGCACAACTCATGGGAGGTTATATCAAAAGTGACAGGACGAAGCATATTTCTCCAAAATTCTTTCATACATACGAGTTTCAGAAGAATGGCGACATCAAGGTTCAACAAATTCGTTTAAGTGACAATTGGGCTGATTTATTTACAAAAACACTGCCAACATCCACATTCAAGAAATTGGTTCACGGGATTGAAATGCGTCGACTCAAAGATTTTCAGTGATCAACATCCAGGGGGAGTAGCTGTACTCTTTTTCCTTGTTTAGGTTTTATCATACTGGATTTTCCTAACAAGGTTTTAATGAGGCAGCATTTATCTTTAATACTCCAAAATAACCGTACTATTTTTCCTTCATTTTGATTTTTCTCCTATTGGGTTTTTATCAAATAATGTTTTAACGAGACAGATATTTTGTAATGTGTTATTCAAGAGGGAGTGTTGTAAAATGAAAGTAAATTAGGATTTAGTGTGAATGACACTTGTACCCCGCAACCCTATATATAATTATCATATGTATCCCTATTCCTTCCCTATAAATATAGGATTTTGGTTCTCATTATAATACACACAAGTTTATTGACTTCTCTTTTTCTCACTATTCATAACATGAAAATATCAGATAGAAAAATATATTTCAAAAATAGTGAGAAACAAGTGTGTGATAATACCAAATAGGGAGATGCTAGAGGTACATCACCTCTTACATCGGGGTGTTCATAATGAACACCCGGCGCCTCCTCATTGGAGGGAGGGTCGGTGGGGTCGGCACTCCTTCCAATGAAGAAGTACCGGGTGTCCATTATGTACACCCTTATGTAAGTGGTGATGTACAACTGGAATAATCCTACCAAATAATGGGGCTATATAAACTCAATGCACTAAACCCTAAAAATCAAAAATCTCTTCTCAATTAGAGCCCGTTTAGTGTTTAATTCAACAATTCTCTCTCATTGTATCTATACTTTCTGGAAGAACCAAGCAGAATATCGATACGATGGTGAAAACCAAAGCCCAATCGAAGAAGAAGGCGCAAAAACGCGGAATAGATTTCAAAGTAGTTATCTGAAACTGATTAAATATGTCAAATATAATTTGAGAAAAAATCGATATCAAAATGTGATATTGAATTCTCTGACTAGTTAAATTGTTTTTTCAGAAAATAAAGAAGAAAATTGGTCGAAAATTGCCGCCTCCGAAGAATGCTACAAACACTGAAATCAAATCCAAAGCAATAGTTCTTCCAGAGCAGAGTGTAGCCTCTGAAAAGGCGGGTTTAGCAGTTAGCAAAAAAGGTTTAACATTGAAGGAGCTGCTTCAGCAGACAAGCCATCATAACTCCAAAGTCAGGAGAGGTGGTGCTTTTTTTGAATCCTGTAATTTCTGTTTCACTATAGATGACAAATCATCATACATGCAGTTTATACAAGTGCCAAATCTATCAATATATGACTGCAAGTAATTATCACAACTATGTTTGAGAGTGCAGTGAGGATGCCGGACTTCAAGTTCATTATGAGCTTTGAAGTGGTGGATTTTGGAAATTTGAGTCAGGAAATAATTCTATGAAATAGCTGTGCACAAGAGGCGAACATTTGTGGTTAGATATTAGAACAATTATGTAAAATAGTTTTGTAAAGGTATGAATTTTGTGACACCATATGTAACACATTTGTTTGATAACAAGAAACTTGAATGAAGGGAAAGGTCACAAAGGTGATGCACGTATAATATCATGGAATTGAGCCGTATGTTTCATGAACTATAGTTTGTGGCAAGATAAGTTCGTTCTGAATGCTTGATTGAACTAAAGAAAATTTACTGCATAGGTAAGAGAACTAGAGAAACTTGACATGAGCTTGATATTTTTATGTAACTATGAATGATTTGACTTCTTTCCATTGGATTGCCAACATTGCAATGTTGTTACTATGCTAATTGTTTAATTGTTTAGTTGTCAATGTGCCAAGTTTTTTATTGTATGTGGCCTTGATTCATGTCTTGCTTCTCATTGATTTTTGTGATGAGTTTAACATGACGACCTCCTTCTATCTCCAGATGCATTGATAGGTATTAAAGATGTATTCCTTAAGCACCCTGCCGAGCTAAAATTGCATGAACTTGCTGTTATAGAGAAACTGCGCGAACGCATTGGCGATGATGATAAGTTGGTCTGTGAAACACTTTATCAACTTTTTAAGTCAGTGATATTCCCTGGCTGTAAAGAGGTAATTTATAAAATATTACAGTGCTTGCATAAATTATCTGTAGTTAATATGTTTCAAAGTGCAAGTACTTTGGATTAGGATAGTTTCTGCATTCATTTTGTTTTATTTTTAATCTCTCAATTTTAATTATTTATTTTCTCGACAGAGTATAAAAACAGACAATAAAATTTCTCACTTGTTGTATCAGTATGCATTGTGTAGCACATCAGTATTACCCTGTGTGTCTGAAAGCTATGATTGGAAATTCTGCAATCATACCCTGATTCATCTTAGGATTGAGCAAGTGATGTTCTTCAATGTAATCTAAAGATGCTTGTTGACTCGATCCTTTTCCTTAATAAACTTGATAGAACACCCATGTTAATTCAAGAAACCAGACTTCCAAAATGTCTTAGTTGATCATTCTCTTTTCTACCGCATTCCAATAAACCTGACTGCTGAAATTCTATTGTGTGGTGGCTAGCTCATATTAACGGGGAAATTTTTTCATGACTATAGGTTGGATTTCTTTCCTTTAGTTTCCTTTTTCTATCCAGGAGTAAGGAAGGTGTCTGTTACCTCTCAAAAGTTTTGGTTGAATTTTTCAACTTGTTTTGGAATTTAAAATTTGAAGTTCTTAAGGATTTTCAGTGTAAAGTATTCCTGATATGTAGTTCTAGACACATTCTTTTAAATCTCCGGTTGTTCTATTAATGTAATTCAAACAAATGTTTGGGTCCTAATTCATTTACTATAGAGTTATAATGGATAGGTAAATAACCAAAATTTAATTACCTGAAACACACTCAACATTAGCCTCAAACAATGATATGATTGCAGCAACGAAGAACGTGGAAGTGGGAGCTTCAAAATGAGAAGAACACAAGATTAAAACCTGTCATACGTAAATCATTCTCACGACGTTTTAAAATAAACCATGTGTCTACTGGAAAAACCTATTCAGCATTGAATACTATTCACGATATTTATACCTTGGCTTATTTAAAAATTGCTGGTGTCTCTTTTTCTGCACGCACTACATTGTACTGACTTATTGGATCTTTTTAGCATTTTAGAGTCTGTCGTGCTTGTCTCGACCACAAAAGCAGACATCAGACAATTTCTCATTACAGGTCCCTGTTACATAGACATAAGACACATTGTTCATGGGTGAGCAGCTATAACATCATTGTTCATCATCCCCTCGCTACCGGATGAGTGAACTCTACTGTCCTATGCTGAATGGGAATTCATGAATTTGACCTTGTAGCAGAAGACTACCGGTATCTGGAATATTTGCAAACGTAAATTGGGTACTCTAGATTTGGAAATCACTTTTTCGTATTTTTAAGATTCAAGTCGTTTGTTATAATACAACATTTCATTGGTTATATGCCATTTCGGGAGCATTTCCCTTGTATCCTATGCGCACATTTGGTATCCCTTCGTAATCACATAGTAGTATTCCCCTGGTAATTACATAGTGGCATTTATTGTTGCCATTTTGCAGACTTTATCTCGTAGTGAGAATGGTTAGTCCAAACTTTCTACTCTAATTATCTGCTGGTTTCCTTTTGTAGGATAACCAGGGATCATTAATTTCCTTGATGATGGCATACATCTTCAATGCAATGACCCATTTAGCAATTGATGTACGCTTGATGGCTTTCAATTTTTTTGATCTTGTTGTCCAGTACAATCCCTCTTCATTTTCCTTATATGCTGAAAAGGTATAGTCAATGTCTATATAGTTGAATGTTTATTTACATATTTATGTGGATGATCAGAAAGAGTTTCCTATATCTGTTAAATTGTTGTGGAGGGTCTTTACCACCTTGCATGAGGCTTAGTGTAGTATGTCCACTTATTCTCATTTTGTTGCATACTTACGTGAAGGAATCAAAAGAATGGTTATAAAATGTCTGAGTTGATTTATGTGCTGAAGCTGGATTTTTTTATAGCTCTATTCATTCATATTGTTGCATCTCTGCAGCTATAAATAAAATTGTTGAAAGTTCTTTCTTACAGTTTTTGAGGTCTTGTCCTCTTGTTGAAAGTTGTAGCTGATGTGATTTTAGATTGAACATTGTACCTGTGTAAAATTGTTATCATCTTGCTTCTCTGTGGAGTTTGTTACTTTATTCCTCGTCTGCTGTTGATAATTTAAATCACATCTGCAGATTCTCCAGAACTATGAAGATATTTTGCGCAAGAACCAAACTTTTCTAGAGGATACGAGCACTTTAAAGAACATTCTTGGTGGATTCGTTCACTGCTTGTCATTGTTGCCATGTAACAAGAGAGAAAATGACTCATCATATAAAAATGTATCCTCTGGTTAATTAATGCAACTATCAAATTTTAGTGTTATTTTTTTAATTTTCTGTCATGTGATGTTTAAGGAAAGATTTACTCTTTTCCATGCCTCAATTCGTATTTGCCGAGTAGAATGTATTGTAATGGCTACAAGTCTATATACCAAATCTGCTTTATATAACTACAAAGAGAACACTGCAGCAGCAATCTTTTGCTGAGCCCTCATCTGGACATGGTACCTGTAGCTAGATATATGATCTACCTCCGCGTTGAGTATGGCATGATGACTAAAATCAACAGCTGCCTTGTTACACTTCCATGGATGAACTCTTTATAAGCTACTATACTATGTCAGAACCTCACTGTTTGTCATCCTTTCTCTTTGCCAATTAATGCAAGTGCTACTCATTTCCTTTTGTGGACATCCCAAATTAAAGCCTACTTTAAAATACTCGCTTTTGTTACTCTTTCCTTCATAAACACCCGGCCTTTTGATTCCTATCTACATAGTTGCTCCCTCAATTGAAGCATGTAATTATTCTTTCTTTCTTCTTTATAAGGTCATTTTTTCCGTTAAATATGCTACTTCTTCACAACGTCTTTACCTTATATCAATGACTGCTGGTACTATAGTGAACAACTTGAGCTGTTTATATGGCAACGTGTTATACGAAAGTTTTATAGTCGTGGGTTGATTCTGAGGTGTTTTTTCTCCTTTCTGTGAGCTGTTTCTTAAGATTGAATTCTTATATAAAGCTAATTTTTGTAGAATACTCCTGCTGAAGACATTCTTCATGCTTTTGAGCCTGAGGTTTCTAGAGAACCGACCAGTATGTACTTTTGCCTTTGTACTGTTCTGATTATCTTCACATTCTTACGTAACTTTCCCTCTAATTGGCATAATGTCCGTGCATTTCTGCTTTCAAAACAAAATCTGTTTTTTTTCTCTTTCAATTTTTTTCTCCTTTTCTTCATTTGAAAGAAATAGGCTTTGACATCTTACTTGTGGTCATCAATATCCTTGTTTGTAGGGTTTACTGAAGTTACCAAGAAATTGAAGGATATTTTGCCCATACTAGTTACTTGTTTTCAAGATTTCATGCCCATGGTTCACACAATTCCTCAGCTAGATGCACAATCATTTGATAATATGCTATTGATACTTGAAAGCATAGATCTTGTAGTCAGGTTTTTGGTTTGTGAGACTGGCAGAAGCCGACAAGATATGCAAACTCTTCTGCCTCCATGGCAGAAGCCTGACACAACTATTTGCAATCAATTTATCTCACTTGCGATACTAAAGAAGTTGTGGGATATTTTTCCCCTAAACCCTGTTTGTCACCAATCAAAAAAGGTATCATAATGGCATTGTATGGACTATCATGGTTTATGAACTCCCTTATGTGTCATATCTTTTATGCTCTTGAAGATTTCTTGCTGCTATTCCTTTTGAGCGCAAAACCAATTTATGCCCTTCCCACCAAGTTAACGTTTTGGTGCATATAAAATTGAACCACATCAGCGAGTGAAATTAATCACTGAATGCAAATGTGTGTGGCAAAACCAATTGCTTTGTTGGAGCTGTCCTACATCACCAACATTTCTTTGTTTGATCTGATTTAGTTTTTTTTTTTTTTTTTAGCTTTCCTTTTTCAACCATGTTATTGAACTCTACTACTAGGAGCTATTTTACGTGGTTAATATTTCTACTTTTTGCTTCTTTTCGATTTGGTATATCATTATTTTACTTTCTTGTTCTTTTAGTAGTCAACTTGGCCATTGCTCATCTTCAAATGAACATAAATTCTTTGCTTTGTTCTACTTATGCCTTTGCTTGCAGGATGATGATCGAATCTTCATGCTGAATATTGTAATTACTGAAATATTTTTGCAATTAAGTAACTGGAACAACTCTTCCCCTGCTTCATTGGAAAAGTTTCTGGAATTCATTGAAAGATCACTATCTATAATGGTTCGTTTCTGAACTTCTGTTATTTGAATCTGTAAGTATATGATGAAAAACACACAGATCAAGTTGAATTTAGCTGATAATACCATGAAATAATCCTCCTTCAAGCTTTAGCAACAATTCTATATTATCTATAAACCCTTAAATGCAAGGGATGTCACCTTATAAGTTCTTGTTCTTTAAGTTTCTCTTTGTTGATCCATTGAAGCTCTTCTAGATTATATGATTAGTTGAAGCTGAAATGTATTTGTACCACTTAAAGTAACACAATGAACATTGTCCTTTTGCAGATACAGTCAAATAAAGGGTTTCACGAAAAACACTTGCTTCCACTTATATCATACATCCCAAAACTAACCATGCGAATTTCAGGTCATTGGAGATCTCGTATTCTCCAGGTTTGTCATTCTTGTGTTAGTTTATTTGATTGTTAAGTAATTGCCTAACATGTTGCCTCAATTCATACTTATTTTTCATCTTCGTTTGCTTTTTGACGTTTGATAAATCTAAATTAATCATCCTCAGTTTTTATATCATGTGACTTCAGGTTCCTTGAATAATGAAATCTAAAGACATAGCTTTATTTTTGCAGTCTTTTACAGATGCTTCTATGAACTGCAATCCAGACTCTTCAATGAAATTAGCTTGCCTTTCTACAATCAAGGAAATGCTTGATCCTGTAAGATGTCTATTTCCTAGTTCAGGAAAAACTCTGGAATTGGTGATGCTTTTCATATTAACTAGATTGCACTTATATATCATACAAAAATGATGATGTGTTTATAACATGATTTTCAATCAGCAAACTGTTCTCTGTTATTCTGAAGAAAGAACAAAAAAATTAGTTGAATATTTAGGATCAATCTATGTAGACATAATATTTTACATGCTTATGGAAATATAATGATCAAAATCACATGCTCTACCTTAAGTGTATTTGAATAGATTTGTGGAGATGCATTGGTGATGGGAACAGGATTGTCTTTTAGGATCTTTCACATTCATGGCTTCCCATTTATGTTGTGACAAATAACATGCATCCAAGAAGAAACTTAAGTGTGATAAATAAATTTTTGCAGTGAATTGGATAGCGAATCAAAATCAGATTTATAGGGTAGTTATAAGAAATAGCTTATTTTTTAACTGCTGAGGTTTTAAAGTGCATCAATACGACAGTGTTGCTGTTAGTCTGTTACTTTAATGAATTTCTTAGCTGTAAAGATAGATAGCATGGTTCACAAGTAGTTTGCTTATTATGATGGTTCTTGTAATTTATTTATTTTTGGTAAAAGAGCACTTCTGTTTATCCTCTTAACGGTTTTATGTGGTACAAATCAGTTCCCCCGCCCATCCCCACCTTCTCCGATCCATTTGACACGTGCAATTTCTTTTCTGTCAATACGTCCTGCAATTTGTACTTGAATTCCTTTTATATCTGCTTGTTCAGTTAATTCAATAGCTTTTTTTCTCCCTCCGGAGGGGGTAGGAGGTAGGAGAAGATTTTGTAGACATGATTACATTGCTTTCCGTCAGTTCAATTCAATATTTCTAAATTATGATCCAATCTCTCACTATGGTTTCTGTATTGATTTGTCACTCAACTTTTCTGTCCAATAACAGGAAAATAATTGGCTATACATGGATGGAACTGATCCTACGATATTAGACTATCAGATCACTTGGATACGTGAGCTTGCTCCATTGCTAATTTTGTTAGGTGACAAAAACCCTACATGTTCCAAGGTATCTTCTTGCATTCATGTGCTTGTTTAGACACACACACTTAGTTATCTAGCTGTCTAGCTTTTGTTATTGCCATTGTCATATGTGGATGATTGCTATTCTTGCAGGCTGTGTTGAGCCTGCTACTTCGCCTGGGACAAGCTGCCCCTCCCAACTCTCCATTTTCTCAGGAATTTGACAAAATGCAGTACATTTTGAGAGACTTTTACAGTAGTCAGATAGATGAGATAGATGAAAGTAAGGACCATGTGTCTAAAATTCTAATTCTGCTTTTCTTCATTTCGTGGATTCATTTTGATGTGTATGTAACTCACTGCTCTAATATTGTAGGAAGTGTATGCTATGGTCCATTCATAAGGCTCTCTGAAGATGTTCAGGAAATCTCAATATGTTGCCTATATTACTTCTCTTTCATGGACTCAATTCTACTGCAATCGCTTGTGTCATGTTGCTTGTGTAAGTATTGAATTAGTAACAGGTGTAAGATCTTTTGAAATCGTTATTTTTAATGTTCCATGCTACAAGTTTTCTTATATCATAGATGTGTGAGTAGCAAAATACGTATACTTGTATTCCGACAAATATTAAAAGGTTTTACCTGTACCATAACATCTTTTTGATCCTAAAACTTTGAAAGAGTGTTCTGATCTTTTTCCACTGGAAATTATATTGATTTCTCTTGTCAATGCAGTCTTCTCAAAATTTTGAAATCTAGGGTATAAATGTAACAACACTCCAGAAAGAATACTGAGCCAGTAGGTTTCTTTTTGGTGTTTGTTCAGGAAAGCATGACTTATCTTCAGTCTCCGACGGCCTTCTTGTGGGAAAAAAATATTCTCAAAACATTGATGTCAAAGTTGGAAGTGTTTTAGATTTTAATAAGGCTTGATATTTTGTTTTCTATAAGTTTGTAAGAACGATTGTATGCCACTGGAAGTTAAAAAACTGCAGATATGGATGGAAAAGAATTTCAAAAGGTCCTGATGCTATCATATGCTATTTTATTGGGGTCAATTTGTGCTTTTCTTGATTGTATGAGTTTGAAAATATTGATGAGCTGTGCTTATTTCTTGTGCATCAGATGAAGCACGAAAATGGAGATAGATTTTGTTAAAATAAAAGGATGGTAGATATATATCATAGTATGGTCTCTGAAGTATGAGAATCATTTACAATTATCCATTCTCTGTGTGTTATAAAATTATTTGAGTGTTTCTCTTGCTACGCCACTGCAGGCCCTGATTTGGAGCCATCTTTACTCTTTCGAATCTTGGAAGTTCTGCACTCAGCCTATAGAGCTGGGCATATCCAAGTTGCTGACTACATTAGCTTTCTTGTCACTCTACTTTCACGGTTCCAAGTTTATCCAGGTACTTCCAGTCAAGTCTTCATTGCATGTCTTGTTCTAGTAGTATTATCGCCATTACCTTTTTCTATGTATATTTTCTAATAGCTGTAGCATTTTTAGAAGTTCTTCTAACACTTGAGTTCATCCTTTTTATCATTACCAAGTAATCTTACTGTTTGTCAACATACTGGTTATTATGCCCCTATTTTGTTTAGATAAAAAATCAGATTTTTAGTACATTTTAATAAAATTTTATGGAATGTGTGGTTGAAAAGTTGTGGGGCCCATAAAATATGTGTTTAAAATTGATTATTGACTTTGACTTAGATTTTAATAAACTTTTGTAGCTGAATCAAACAGGGGCTATATGTGCTTGACTCTCCCTTTCTGGCTTATGTTGTCTTTCATTGTTTTATTTTTGTTTTGGGGAGTGGCAGAAAAGGGAAATAGTACCGAACTGTTAGTTTATCATCTAGTTCTACACAACTTAGGAGTTTGAACAAGATGTATGGTGTCGATTTCTAAATTCAGTGCTTGATCGAGGGAAGAAAAGTACTTCGACCTAAGATCACCAATGCTTGATGCAGTTGAACAAAATTGAAGAGCATGGAAAATAATGAGGAAAACCCTATCAAGGGAAAAAACTTGAACCTTCGACCTTTAGAGTCCATTAAGCAGGATTTTGCAATTGTAATAAAATCAAACAAAATTGAATGAACAAGACAAAAATACGTCTTGTTTGTGACTTGTTTGATTACTAATTGGAATCAAGAACCACATTCCTGATTTTACACCATTGTTGATTGCAACTGGATCGTTCAAATCTTGAATTGAAGCAAATATCTCCTGTCTTTCCGTGCTATAAATTCAGTGTTCACCCAAAGGATATTGTAAGAAATTCAATACTTCTCAGTCAGTGAGGTGGTTCTGTGACAAATTGAAACCTTGGTAGCTAGATTTGATAGTGAAATTTCTCAAGTTCAATCTGGACAATTGAACTTTAAACAGAATCTTGACAGTTTGTACTGAGTATGGATTTGGAAAGGCTAAATGTACAGGGAGAGAGAAAAACAGTCACCTGTATATTCACAGAATTTTTTTATTTTTGGTGTATTTCCCATCACCTATCTCCGCTGTTTTTCCAGTTATAAAGAGTCATAAGCCAACTCTATCATGTCATTTTGGACTCTATATTTCAGTTTGAACTCATTAAACAAAGCAAGGTATGTTGCGAGTCACTCATAACACACGGTTATTGGACTTATCTAGTCATATGCAATACTCATGCATCAGTCTAGTGGGTCGCTTAATCGACCCAGTTAATTTTTTCAGGAATGTTATCAAATAAATTTCACAAACCGAGGAGTTTAGGAATAATTAAGAACACATTAGAACTCTACCCTGATAATTAATTTATTATTATTATTTTTTTCCTAGTTTTGTGCTGGAATATTGTAATGCTTATAAGATAGACATGTTTATTTCCTGGTTATTAGGCCACTTTTTGGTGTGCAAATTGGTCTCTGTTCAACATATTGGAACAGGTTCTTTAGCTTGGTGCAAGCCTGTTGTTAGTCTCCTTTTGACATTAAAATAAGTGTTTAGAAGACTGATTTTTTAAGACAAAATGCATAGAAAGATTGCAACAAAGTCGGGTTATTATATTCCCCTATCAGGAGTATCTGATATTTCCTTGGAAGAATCTTTCATCATTTTTCTGTAGGGTTCTTCGTTTATTTTCTCTTATTCTCCTTTTAAACTCATCTTTGTCGTGGTTGTTCAAATAAATATTGGATTGTGTTGCAGAAGAGACCTATCCTGTTACGAAGCATGAAGCTAGGTCAAATCATGGGACTTTTAAATCTGTTACTAGTGTTGTTTGCTCTTGCCTGTCACGGATTGGTGATGCTTGTCTCGTTTTCCAAATTCTGGAAAAAATAATTGTCGATCAGATTGTAAGTTTTCTTCTTTGGTCCTTTTGTATTAGTGATTTTACTTTCCCATTGTTGTGATATACTCAAAACTTCCAAAAAAATATTACTATCTTTCACATTAATGCCTTTTATTTATCTTTCTAACAGTATTTATCTGCAACATTTATAGATATGGGATTGATGCTGTTATTTTCTTATGCTTTAGTGTGCCAAACAACCGGTGGATAATATGTGCGCTCTTCTCAGACTGCTTGTTACATTTGACTCCAAACCCTCGAGACTTTCTGAAGAGAGTATCATCAACATAAGTCACACCCTTCCAGAGTACTTGATTGATATTGTATCTGTAAGTCATTTTCATTTATTTATATTCTTTGAGATATATGTAAAATATTCTTGATTTTCTTTTACTGAATGAAGGTTGTGCATTTTTTATTTAAATACCAGACTGACTGATAAAATCAGTCATGCTGTTTTTTATACCTCTTTTACATTGTTGATGCTAGGACGAAATTTTTTGCAGTTATGTTCAATTAAATGGAAGAAACCAATTCTGACAGGTTAAGACAGGCATTTCCACAATTAATAATGTTTCAATCTGGTTTGTCACAGAATCTCTTGCTCCTATTAACCTCAGCTTTTGTATGAGTGGGTCGAAGTATGTGAGCGTAGAAGTGACCAAATTCTGAAGAGAAGTCAATTTTGATGATTCAAGTCTGTCACAAATTGAACTTCCATTTAATATTGCAGTGGGTAGTTTATTTCATTTCTTTAGTTGAGCCTTCTTCACTATAACATGACAAGGTGTATAATCAGAATCTAGAAACTCAATTTATCTGAATTTTTAGTAACCAGAATAACTTTTAGGACAAACTGAAATAGTAATCTAGAAGAGAATAAAATGGGACGGAGAGTAATTGTCAAATAGATTACTTATTTAAACATAAATGGGTAATTGTTGGGAAATAATGCTTGTATCTTAAAAACCTCATTTCAAGACTAAAATTGCTTGTTTGGATATGAAAGCCCTGCAGCTGTTTCTTTTGAGGCCATCTAAATTCAAGTTGTACTCCTGCAGCTTTTCATTAAGCATCACTTATGGGGGCATGCACACATTGCTTAGTTATCTCGATTGTACATAATTTCTTCCGAAGTTGATGTAGCTCCTATCTCGTTGGAATTTTAGAAATTTATTTAATTTATCCTGGGGTTGGTAAACTCCGGTGCTATAATTGAATTACATCATCTTGATCATTCAGGAAGACGATTACGAGTCCTGTACTGCTATTAGTGTAAAGAGAAGAGAACATTACCTACTGCCTCCCTTTTTTCTGTTCCATAGGAGCAACAGGCTGTTGAGTCTCGTGTTAAATGTGATGGGATCTTGGGTTTCTGAGATTTGTTCCTTGCTTGGTAGCGATAGTCAGACTTCCTCCACAATCCATTGTTCGAGTAGGCTACATACCATTATCTCTATGCTTCTCCTTGTGCATGAAGATGTCAAGATTCAACGAATTCTTTCATCGTGCGAGATACAAATTAAGAATATATTGCAGAATCTGAGCACGTTACTGGTATGGATGATAATATTCGTATCAAATGGTATTTTATTACCTCATATTCTGGATTAGATCTTAACAGTAACTTTTAATAATGTAACCATAACTTCATTCTTCATTTTACAGTCTTCTGTGGAGATCAAGTTGACCATAAGAGAAAAGCAGAAGATCCAAAATGCACATGATCGACTGAAAGCGGTCACCAGTAAATTATTCAGAGAGGCTCTCAGAACTTAGGAGAAACAGCGCAAGTAAGTTAATTTATGGCATCATATAATTGGTTTGACATCCTTAATATATGGACAATAATAGAAAAGTTCTCCATTCTTTAACTACCCTTGTTTTTTGAAAAAGACTCGTAGTTATTATAATTATTTGATTGTTACATGCCATAGAAAGGGACGGTGAGTAATCAGCGCCGATACATCCGAGGGTACTTATCACTTCTCTTAGACAAGAATTTGAGATATTATGAGTTGTGAAATAGCTAGTCTGCCCAAGAATTTTAGGTGCTTGAGAGTGGATTATGCCCCTTGTTCGATGCCCATTAAAATAGTTCTTTTGGGAAAATGAGTTTTGGAACACTGTTTTTTTGGAGAATGTGTGATTAAAAATAAGGATAAGTTTTGGAACTTCTTATATTGTACTACTTCCAATGGATTTTGCTTCACCTTCACTCATGGTGAATTTGTTATAAACCCAGCAACTTACCTTCATTCGTAAGTGAGAGATGTTCTTATCTAGAGCTCTCTCTTTTTGCATCTCTGATGCTCTCTAACCAGTGATTTGCACTTGTCCCGTACAAGGCGCAGCGCGTTGGAGGCCAGTGCATCGGTGAGTGAGTATGCTGCAGCAGGTCGTCAAGTGTGAGTTCAGAGACATTCTTTTGATTTTTTCCCCATACACCTGCAATTTTGTATTTCTAGCAGATGTTACTTTATCCTCCTGAAAGCAAGAAAAGAACAGAAAGAAAGAGAACGTGTACAGCTAAAATAGTCACATTGATTGCAACTTTCGGAAATGCATAGTTTGTATGGTTAATCGTTAAAGGTCTGTAATTTAATTACAAGCACATTGTTTCCTTTTAGGCAAGAAAAATGTATGTGATATCGATGTTCCATTTAACTAAATTCTTGGATCTGCGAATGCCTTGTCTTGTTGTGGTGCTTGTTACACGCTCCAATAACATACAATTTAAACTTGGTATGCGATTTTTATATCGATAATGTAACGTACATAGAATGTGCTGTCTAGTCGAGATTGGGCGGGCGTTCAGTGTACCGTAGATCGAAAGATTCTCATGCCTTGCTTGGTTGGACCAACCCAATTGGCTATTGTCGACGAACTAACTTCATTTTTAGATCAAGAAGTGGAATTAGACCGATGAAATGAAAAGTGATTCTTTCGATTACGCCCAATAGCCAGTGTAGATTTACATGTCAGATTGTTGAACTTTTTCTCATTGGATAATAATAGTACGAACAAAATAACTTGCTGTTTGGTGTATTTTAGTAAATTTTGATAAAAGTCGATGGAATATGTTGTTGAAAAGTTGTGGATCTTATGAAATATGTGGTTAAAATTAATTTTTCAAAGTTGGATGGAAGACCAATTAATTGTTGAAAGATCGATTGAGGACAAACAAGGACTGCTATATATGGTAAGAAACTATCCTCAATTCATTTCTTCAATGTGAGCGAAAATATATTCTCTGTGATTTTTCTCTTCACCTTAAACAAATTTTCTCCGGTATTCATCTCACCTAAAAGAAAAACAATTCATGTAGTTGATTTTTAAAAAATGATGATTTCTTACATAAATATTAGAGACATGCTACAAGTACAAGAATTCAAATTCCTGAACCTGCCAGAACACACAGCAGGGGTGGGTGGGTGAGGTTTTTTGCCAATATTTTAATTCACATGGGGCAACCCTACGAGACTGAAATTCAAAAATCTGTATTAATTCTATTATTTTTTTCTATGTACTCACAGCAATTTTCTAAATATTATGTAAGTTGTCGACGGTAAAAGATTCTATCAAACGCAATGAAAACCAAAAACAAAATAAGTCGGAAGAGAAAAACACAAGATTAATGTGGTTCAACAAATCACCTTCGACCACATGCAAATAATACTTTATTAGTTGAGAAAACTTCGCAAAACAATATTTCCTCACTCTCACGACTGCTTCTGACACATAACTAGAATGCCCACGTACGATGCAAACAAGCTCATGCCCTGTCTTCTTATTTTTTTCTCACTTTCTCTCCACCAATTTTCTCTCCCTGAACACTTAATTTTGGTGGACGGAATTCTCTACTTGAATTCGCGTCACCTTATTGCCAAGCACATCTCACAATTGAAGCCTTGTGGTGAAATCCTATTTCTTTTCAGCATGTGAAGGCATTAAAGAGAAAATATTCGTAATACATATGGCAATTTTTCATTTTTCCAAACAAGAATCTTAATAGAACTCTTCTGTCTCACAAATTTGGGTCAAATCCAATAGTTATTTTACTTAAAATGGTGGTGTAGAGCATTGGTATATTGGCTCTATCCTTCAGCAATGATCAAGGGTTTGAATTTTGCTGCCAAAGCTAATTTTTAAAACCAGAGCTTTACCATCTTGAATTGGCCTCGACTAGTTTAATGTGAACCGGATTTCAACAATCCATCGGTTTATTAGGATATGGGCTGCGACTCTTGACTTGTGACCTGAGCTGTGACTTGTGACATGGGCTGTGACTTGTGACCTGGGCTGTGACCGTAAAAAAAACATGGTAACTGTACAAAAAAATATAGCGGAGCAGTCGCCGGAAAAATCGACGCCGGAATGGTTAGGTTAATTATATTATATTAGAATTAAATATTTAATAATAAATTAATTTATTTCATAAATAAAAATTTAAATTTTTTTAATAAAAATCTTATTTTGGAAATTTCAAACTTGTTTTCTTATTTTTGAAATAGGTTAAACGTATTTTCTTGAATATGTAATCTCCCCTAAATGTAATCCGGTCAGTTATGCTTGCTGGACCTCAATAGATCTTGGGCTTGCCCGGGTTTTAAATGTTGGTTCACTGGTAATGTTTATTAGTTGTAATTTCTACACCTATTCGAGTTGTTAAAAGTGAATATTGAGAGTCAATTTGATGAGATTATTAATTAATTTAGTTAAATATCAATTGTAGTAGGATAAACTTAAGTTTGGATGGTATTTGATGAAAAAATGTGAAAACCGGCCAAAGAAGAGCGAAATAAGAAGAATTCTAAAGTTTGGGAACTAAATCACAAATGCATTAAATTTAAATAAAACCTAAGAATGATGTCTGCAGATTATAGAGATCAAATTAAATAAAATTAGAAGATGGATGACTAAACTTGCATGAGAAAAGGATTCAGACTGAATAAAGAAGTTCAGGGATCAAATTGAAGATTTTATAAACTTATAGGGGTGCGAATGCGATCACATGCAATAAGGTGATGCAATTGCAACACTCTGTTTGGTAGAAACACACGACAGAAGTGCTTAATGATGCGGTTGCACATATTTATGAGTTGCGATCACATAGTTGTATTTTGGTCAAGCGAGACTGTTTCCTTACATGATTCAACCAATTTGTGGAAATCAATTTCAACACCGAATTTTGACCTAGTTCTGGCTTTTAATACAAACCTTCATCCAATATCTGAAGACACATCTCATACTATACACTATACAAATTATAGCAATCGAGAGAGAGAAAAATATAATTCTTTTGTGATGAGTGAAGAGGTAAGATACAACAATCATGCTACAAGTCCCTGTACATATAGCTTAATTCAAGATACAATAAGTCAATTACTTAAAGTTCATTTCTTGGTTTTTTATCAAAGAAGAAGAAAGTGCAGCTAGAGATTGATCAAGAAAGATTGAATTTGGGTGATGTTTGATTAACATTGCAATGTTAGGCTAATTTTTTAGTCACTAAGATATAAATAAACATTTTATTATGAAGTTTTAATATTAATTTCAAGATTTTAATGTTAAGTATTTGCTTACCTTGAATGATTGATATATTTAATGTTTTTCAATTAATTGATTACTAATTGAATTGATGCTGCATTTTTATTATGTTCGAGAGAAATAATAGGAAAGATAATACGTAGTAACAATTGTTGTGAGGTCCGACAATGGATAGAGATATAACTCTATGCCTTACACGATTTCAATGATTGTTCTAATATTTTAATACATTCTTTCATATTCGCATATTTTATAGAGATATAGGAAGGTAACTCGTGGGAATATGTTTAATTCTACTCGAAAAAAAGATTATTAAACAAAAAGGGAACATTGAGCAACAAGAATAATTAACTATTGTCTTGGTCTTTATATTAAAATAAATTAATAAAGAGGGATTCAAAATTTTTGTTCGTTTTTTAACCGATTTTACAAAAGCTTTAATAATTGCTCATTTATTAGTGTGGTTAGTGAATTAGTTATAGAAATTCATCATCAAAATTTGACTATTCAATTATAATAAATATTAATTAAAACTAAATTAAGTACATAGACTTTATGGGACGGTATTTTATTCATTATTATATTACTTATCTGTGACATCGTGCACTCATTGACTTTTGTCGATCAATATTAATGGTTGATGAGGGATTGCGGTGGCGGTGTAAGGGCAGACGTTGGAAGGATTATTCTTTTTTTTTTTCTTTATCTTTTTAAATTCATTTCTTAATATTTTACTTCTCTTTTGCTTTTATTTTATTTTTTTTAATAATAATGGAGCCTGAATGCTCATGGAGAACACGTCTTTCTCCTTAAAAGGTTTTGACATTTTGATAATTTAATGCAGTCATGTGCACAACTAACCACTATTTTTGCTTATGGATTAATGGAGCTAGAAAATATGATTCCATCTTGACATGTTCACACTTCATGAATTTAAAAGAGAAATCTTCTGGTTTTCAAAAATAATCAAGAATAACTAAATTGAGATTTTTTTTGACTCGTACCGAACACTTTTAGTTATTAAGTAAACTGGATATATATTTTCATTAATAGTCGAACTTCGAATCTCCTTAAAATTATCAAATCTTCTATAAAATATGTCTACGAGATTACAACTACATAACAATATAATGAAATAAATTTGGTACAATTAACAATGTTGCACCAAATTTGCTGCAAAACTATTCATTTAGTATGATTTAGAGTTTTTCATAATTCCCATTCGAGTCTTCATTTTGCATAGGGATGGCAATTCGAACTGTTAAAATGGAAAATCGCGGTTAACCGAATCGAATGGAGTAAAAAAAAATCGAACTGATGGTGTAATAGTGTGGTTATGGTTTTGATTTTAATGACCCGGTTCGGGATGGGGCATGTATAGTATTTAGCGACGGTGCCCCACCTCGAACCGATTACCCGTTAAAAATAAATAAATTTTGTTGTGACATGCTTACATCTACATTACTGTTTAACGCCATTAGTTCTAGATAGTATTATTCAAAATATAATTAGCTTGGCCAAAGTTGATTATAAAAAGAAATTGACTTGAATATGGTTTTTATTAAGGGTAGAGTTGGGTCAAGAGGATTGATGAAAAATGATTTTCATACTCAAGTTTATTTTTTGCAAGGCTTGACTTATTGTGCTTTTTATGTGATGAATTGGACATGTCTACCAGTATAACAATGGGGCGGGTATGGTATTTAGAAAATTCTACTCTTTCATCATACTTCGGAGCTTGTGTAAAGTTTAGTGAGGAGGACATTGACGAAGAGGTACAACCTTCAGATAAGACCATTCTTGATTAGGTAGTATAGTTGTATTATTACTTAATTACATTTCTTATTTACTATATAAGAATCAATTTTGAGTCTCGACTCTTGATCTATGCTAGTAAGAGTCTTGACCTAGATTGATAATATTGTTTGTTAAATTCGAATTTTGCATTGGACGTTGAGATAATGTTTGTCAAATTGGCTAAGTTTGTGTTTTTGTTTTTATTAACTTATCTTCATAATTTTTTTTTTCAATTTGACGGTTAGAGTTTAGACTTATAAAAAATAATTTATTTTCGTGGTTATTAACCGAACCGAACTGACTTACGTGGTTATGATGCGGTTATGGTATGGTCAAAAATTTGGTGGTGCGGTTATGGTTTTGACTGAACCGACCCCTAACTTTACAAAATGTATTAAGTTATGCAACTTTTATTTTAGGATAATTTGTAGTTGCTGCTTCCAACTTATACCTTCTTAGCACTTTTAAAATTTATCTAAACATATTTATTAAGTAAAGTAATCTAGCTTTTAAACAAAATAAGTGAATTTATATGCTCTGCATATAATATGTAATTTATATTCTTATAGTTTACTTAAAGCACATTAACTACAACTAATATAGAAAATTTCATATATAGTTCGTAGAGGCATTTCAGATGAGATATGACTCAAAAAACGGTTAGAGGTGAATATGATACTCAAAACTGAAATAAGACAAGTTAGTATATGAACCGCTAATTTGTGAAAAAAAAAGGTTGTCGAGTTTAATGGGAGAAAAAGGTTGGGTTAAAAGTGTAAAATAGGTATAGGATTATAAAATGTTATTGCTTCTAAAAAGAATTATAAAAATGTAACGATGGACATGGTGTGTTTTGTACACTTACGACATATTTAGTGATGTTAATCAGACAATACTCGAGAGTATAAAAAAAATTTAAAATATGAGAAATGCTATTCATCCCTACTAGGGATGCATCCGCAGTTTATGTGGCATTAAATGATAAATGAAATTAAATAAGTAATTTAATCTCACCTATCATTTAACCAATCATTTACATCCACATAGACTGGAGATGCATCCCACTGGAGATGAATAGCATTTTTCTTAAAATTTTGTTCATTGTGTTGTTCGAAAAAATCCAGTATTGAGAACTATTCTACACACAACAAAAAGAGCTTCCCCAGTACGGTATTAATCAAAACCTTGGAATTGGAACTATTCAAGTGGTAGATTTAGGACTCCAATGGTCAAATAAAGCAGCTAAATGTTCCCATTAAGCAATAAAAGATGATAGCCATGCAATTTGGCATGTGCGGGAGGGGTTGACTAAAAATAAATAAACTTGCTCGACCTTCATTTTGCTTTAAAGCTTAACATTTTGTTTCGAGTTAAATCCAGCAATGGTCATTCAATTTTTCGAGTTAAAAAAAAACGTTCCTTAAAAAATTAAAAAATATAAAAACTTATTTTAAAAAGAGTTACTTAGAAAAATAAAATAAAAATTTATTTGTTTTCAAATTTCTCTAATTACTTATCCGTAAAGTACTCAATTATTAATTAATTGTGATAATAATCTTTTCGTCAT